CCCCCCCCCCCCCCCCCCCCCCCCCAACCAAGACGAACGCATCGATTTGCAAGCGAAGGTGGACTCCGGAACCAAAACCAGCCACACCCCAACGTTCGCCTTGCTCCAACACCCACGAGATGAAGAGGCCCCGTAAAATCATTCATGCCGGGTGTGCCCGAATGCTTTTTACCTTCCGGGGAGTACACCCGTGCGTCCAAGAGTGACCGACCGAAAGAGGCAAAATCCTCAAAAAACACGAGAAAACTCACGCCGACGGGCTCGTATCCCTGCCTCCCTGCCTCACAAAGCGGCGACGAGCGCCGGCAGAGGCTGCAATGAAACAGCAGCAGTTTCAACATGTCATCAACCCCGCGGGTCGGAGATTGGGGGGTGGAGAGGACTGCGCAGACATAGGCATAATGAGCAAGAGAGAGGGAGAGAGAGCGCTCGATGTACGATCACCGCCCTTCCCCTGCTCACGCTCAAATACCCGCGAAGCCAACAATTTGACCCCCCCAGGGCACCCAAGCCAATTCAAGAGCCTTAGCAGTCGGTCTGCCTGAGAACGGCAAGGCAAAAGTCACCATGAACAGCACCGATAGACGTCCAACAAACTCTCGGGCGTACCAACGTACCAACGTGTCTCCAGGACATGCAGGTGCCTCAGGTAGATACAGCTAGCCTTCCTGAGCGAGCAAAACGCCTGCAGGAGCCCTCACAAAAATATCTGTCCGTTCACTACGTCCACGTTCCCCTCCACACCCCTCCCGCCAGCCCGGCAACTCTTCCCTCTCGCCCCAGCCCGCACGTGTCCGTCTAGGGTGCTCCGAGGGCACACAGCGGACACGACAAATCCACGACCCCCCCGTAAAAGATTCTCCCGCCCATCAGCATCACCGCTCACGTGAATGCCTTGCAGTCCAGGTGGGCCGCATCTCCGCGGGCAAAACAATAGCCGACTGCTGCCTTGATTCCATTCGTTCCTAATTCTTCGCAATGTAAAGCAGTCCACGCCGACAAAAGGTGGGGTCGAGCAGGAGGGGCACGCCAAAGGACCAAGGGCCAAATATACAACAGCCCCAGCGACGACCACCAAATAACATACACACGCGAGCGCGAGCGCGTTCGCCACAGGGCAACTCGTTCGAAGGAAGCTGCCGGCTGTTGTCCGCTCGCTCGCGGGGTCGACGAGAAGCTCACCCGGAGTCGTTCACGCTGACAGCAACTTTGTCGATGGGGCAGCAGGGCTTCTCTTTGAGCCACTTCGAGATGCACTTGCTGCGGCACGAGGGTCCATCCGGGCGACGAGGGAGCGCGGTGGGGGTCAGGGGAGATGAAATACTCGTGGTAAGTTCACTCCCGCGCCAATGAAAGAGGGATAGATGCGGTGCGCGACGGCCACGGCTAAAACGACGGAAAAATCCAAGCAAAAAAAGGGGTACAGATGTAGAAACAGGGCCTTCTATGCGCATGAAACAGCGTCCGGACTGCTCGAAGAATTCAGCTCGAGAAATAGGTAATCTTCTGTGAGGTTATGCATATTTTTTTAATCAAAAAAAGGGACACAGCCCGACGATGCCGTGTATCGCACTATCATACTAAATTTTAGACCGCTCTGCATGTTTATATTGCCCAGCCATGTGTTGAATCGCCGTACACCTGCAACAACAGCAACCCAAAGACAAGAGGGCTCCCACCAGTCTCACCGACCATCTCATCGCCAACAACGAAAAACGAGCGCGCACCTGTGAAACGTGTGGAGGCAGGCCGGCAGGCGGGTGATCTTTTCCCTCGGCTTCATGTCCTCCATGCAAACGCAGCACTGGTCAACAGGACCGCTCCCGTTGCCAGTTTGCTGCGGGAGTAACGCGATCTCTGACGGGGAAAGCCCGTTCTTGGCGCCCCCACCGCCGCCGGTGTCGTCTGCGCGGGCGCGCCGGGAGAACCACCAGTGGGTAAACAAGGGTGAGATTTCGCTCGGCTTCGTGCGTCGAGACGGGGATGAAAGGAAACCACCTCGCACGCCGACACTCCCGGAAGGTCGTTATCCTTCCCTCAAAGAGCCGTTAACCTTCCGTCAAAGAGCCATATACTTACTGCAATTTTAGTAGCGTGTGTGCCACCGTAAACACAACCCTCCCGACAAGCGGGAATGCGAGAAATCTACACATTTCGTTTTGTTCGCTAACGCTAAACGCTGACTGAACAGCGGTTCCCGCTGCTGCGTGAGGCTCATCCCTCCTGACGACGGGCGGCGTGCAACGCAACCGCAACACCCACCCGTGTCTCACTCACTCACCCAACGCCAGAAGCTGCTGGTAATCCTCAGAGGTCAGCTCCCTTCCCTGCAGCGACGCCAAGCTTCCGGCCGGATGCCCCGCCCCGCCGCCACCGCCTCCCCACTGAGACCCTCCGCCTCCCCCTTCATCTCCCCCCACACTGGATGACCCCCATCGCTTG